TTCCTAACTGGAGGAGATGGAGGTGGACCACACACAGGAGTGTCCTCGATGGCCATCTCCATTTTCACATGAGAAATGGGAAAATCAGAACTCCTGTGAAAGAGAGGAATGAAGAAAGACACAAGAGTAGGCAGTCCAGACAGGCTCCACCCTCAGGAAGCTTTCCCAGTAGAGAGATCTGTTTCAGGAGCTCACCCTCCCCGACATCTTTTCTGTGCCTGGGACATTGGGGCACAGAGCTCTTCATCAGTCCAGCTGTAAGCGCTGGATCAGGACAGTGTCTCAAAAAGATGAAGGAAGAAAAAAAATGAGAGAGAAGGGGAGGAAAAGGAGGCAGGGATGGAGGGAGGCAGGGAGAGTGATTTCTTAAGTCAGCACATCTCGGCATTGACTGTAGTGTGAATCATGGCAGGCTTCCTACCGCCAGAGAGTCTGGTTTAATTCATCATGGGAGGGAGAAAATACTTCTTCTTGGTCTCTTCAAGAATATGTTAGTGGAGTTCAAATCTTCTGACTAAACTGTGTGCCAGTTTCGCTAATACTAGGAGTGGCTTGAAAATGCCCAGTCTTGGCTGCACCCCAAGCCTGCTGAATTTGAACTTTGCTGTAGAGCAGTTTCCTCTGAATTGAGACTCAGGAAGTCAACGCGAGTGTCACATGTCTGGTAAAGTGGAAGCTTGCAGAATTCTGGAAGGACCCTCGGCAGCTTTATGGCAGCAGTGGGCAGAGGCTGTGGACAGAGACTCTGACCAGCTGAGCCGCAGAGAGGAGATCCTGTGGACCTGTAGAGCTGTCTGTGTGATGTGCAGAGAGGTCCAGGGATGCAGCTTCGTGAGTCACCCAGATTGAGCTGGGCTTCCCAATGATGCAGCCGCTTTTAAATCATCCATGTGAGTAACCCCTTACCCACACCCCTGTTAGAAACCCCAATAGAAACTCACTGGTTCATCAAGTTGGGCATTGGTATAACGATTACTTGTGTATCTGCTGTGGGTTTCCTTTCTGGGGAAACTCTGTGTGTGTGTGTGTGTGTGTGTGTGTGTGTGTGTGTGTGTGTGTGTGT